CCTACACGTTCCTTCCATGCTATTGCAAGTAAAATAATATGTTCTATGTTCAACGAAATTCTTTCCAAATTTCATACACAAGGGGTATAATATTCTTCAAATTTTCAACAATTAAGATTTAAGACCGAATCTTCGTGCTTTTTCAACGTAATTTTGTTGATCTTACATGGTTTGGGGTCCAAGTATGAATGTGACAATCAGTTAACATCTTAAAATTAATTTATAAATAACAAGTGATTATAATCTGGTGTGTGACGCTTGGTGCTAAAGATGTTGAACATTTTCACTGCTGCCACACATTGTGGCGTTTTTATCAGTTCCCTTTGAAATTTACATGATGTGGAATGATGCTAATGGTTTTGACTTTTGAGTATCGAAGTAACCGGTACGGAGAAAAGACACAAACACAGATTAGCATAACCCTTCATTAAGAATTGTGATTTTTTTTCATTTTATTTTCTATATAAACCAACCGACACGTCTTTTTCAGCTTCTCAAAGAAGCTACGCAATACGAAACTTAGGTATTAAGCTCCAGCATATGATTTTGTTCGTATTTGGTTTTTTAGGGCTTTTTTGCAATGTTGTTTTCCCAGATATGTATACACGTATAAGGGCGTGATCACTTGGAGCCTTTAAACATGTTCACTTGTCTTACAGTTTCTGTAGATAAGGTTTGTTTGTTTGGAGAAAGAGGGAAAGACGCAGTGAAAAAAGGAGAACAAGAAAACTTTATACCAAAACGTGATATGTGCAATTGATCGACCGGAATACGAGATATGGCATGAATGTTTGGACAGTACATATATAGTAACTCCACGTAAATTAGGGTCCATTTTCTAAATATAAGCATTTGTGTTCAGGTCAAATAGACAAGTCATAAATATGTCATTTTCAAGTGTTACCTAATGTTGACATGTTGAAATTGGATTCATAATAAGATGAAATTTACCTATTAATTAAGTTTCATGCTTCGTTTTGTCTTTTCATTATCTTTGCTACCATAAATATATATATTCTCACTATTTCAAAATAAGTGTCTTATTATAGATGAAGAAAAAATAAAGAAAAAATAAAAAAAATAGTAATTTCAAAAAATTAATCTTATGATTAATATTTTTTTACTAAAAATAATTTAATACTAAAACTTATATTCACATGATATTATTGAGAGTATAGATGAAAAAGATGTAATTAATATTGTATTAACATAATATTTATTAGTGAAAAAAAACGTACTTCATACTTTATTAGTGTTGTGGAATGTGGAGGTTATAAAGTGCTTATGTTGTAATTTATTTTTAGAAAATAATAATTTTTATTTAAATTAATTAAGTGAAATTACTAAATTATCATCCATCAAAAAAATAATTGTGCAGCTATCATAAGAGTAAAAATGTCTTAAAATTTGTGTACACAAAAATGATGAAATGGATGGAGTAGAGTAGTAAGAAATTCTCACAATACAACAAATTAAGAAAAACCTTAATTATTTATGATTTATTTTGTATTAACAAGGCAGGAATTAAATTCTGAACCACGGGAAAGAAATTGAATAAGTTTTTACCGATCTATAATCGAACCAACCATTTTCATGGATTTAAATGCCAGCTCTTTTGAAGACCTTTTCCTGGCAGAAAAAAATCCTTATTTTCCGGGCTAAAAAAAATAATAATAAATGCAATGGATGTAAAATTAAAGAATAAAGCTTGATTTGTATAGTTAAATAAAGGTTTGGGTTAAAGTTTAAGCATTACCAGGAGAATTTCGTTAGTTACATTAGATTCCTAGATATAGGACGAATTATAACACCTTGCGTTGTAGCCATAGATTAATTCGGGGTAAATTTTAATTAATGGCTATGAAAAATTAGCATCGATATTAGGGGTGGGTATGCGAACCGGTCCGGCCCGTTTAAGGCCCGGTCCACGAAGTCCGCATTTTTAACGGGCCGGATAAATTCGGTCCGCGAAATAAATGGACTTAAATCTTCAAGTTTGTATCCGGCCCGTGAAGCCCGCGAATAAACGGATAAATCCGCGGGCCCAATTAAATCTAAATTGTTTAAATGAATATTGACTCAGATTTTGAATTTCTTTTCCTTTTATTTAACCTATGAAAACATGAGGAAAAAAAAACATATAAAATGATATAAATATACTTCTAATAATAACATCAAACATTGTAAATAATAAATCAAAGTCTTAAATAACAAAATTTACACATTCTAAATTTCTAATAGAAATATTTAAGTCTCAATGCCTTTAAAATTTAAAGTCCAAGCATACCAACTATTAACCAAATATTAAAGCCTTACTACCTTAAAACTTTAAAAGTCTTAATACACAACCAAACAAATATAAAACATTTGTAAGTCCAAGTACATCAAAGTCTAAATACCTTAAAACATCAAAGTCTTAATTAATATCTTAAAAACAAACATAAAATATTTGTAAGTCCAATTACATCTATCAAATATAATCAAGCATCTTCAATAATAAAATTTGAGTCCACATTTAAACGGGTAATCCGCGGGCTCGCGGATTAAATCCGTAAAATCCGCGGACTAAACGGGTCGGACCTAAAAAGTCCGTATGATTATACGGATTAAAAAAAATGGGCCCGTTATCCGTGAAGTCCGCGGACTTATGGACCGGTCCGCGGACTCAAGTCCATATACCCACCCCTAATCGATATGTTGAACGGTTGAGCTGTAAAATTGAAAATGCGCCCTTGTACAAGGAGGAGCAACAACAATACAGTTTTTATTAAATTATTGAAAATTAAATATAAAACTTAATAAAAAAAATTAAAAAAAAAATGTTAGACACACCATATTTTGCGATTAGTAATAAATTTTATTTGATAATAAAAAATATGTTGCTAGTAATTTTTTTCTTCTAATATTGCGACAACCCCTTGTCCATGAGTAATTGCACTTGAGATCAATGAGAAAATAATGCTTTAAGGACTATTAAAATACATAAGACATGCTTCTTGATATTTCCTTTATAGATTATGGGATATGATTATTTAAGGTAATTTTATACTATTTATACAAAATTATATTTTACGACATTTTTTTATATTTATAATCTTTAGCTTTATTTATCAAATCATTCATCTTATTTCACATTTTGTTTCCTTCTCTCCCTTCCCTCTCTCATAATTGTCAACAAGTCATAAGACATTGCTGTAAATAAATAAATAAATAAAACTCTTAAAATATGGGATACACTTTACAAACAAAAAAAAAAATATTTTGTAAAAACTCGTCAAATTCCTACACGTAATAGTTCACAATTAGTAACGGAAAAAGATACATATTTCTATATAAAATTAATATACATCATGTCATTCCTAGATATACAAGTAATAATATATATGTATGTATAAAATTTGTACCAACAACTGAAATACTTCACAATTACATGTGTATATACTATATATATACCAAAAACTGTAATATATAAATCTAAGTTCTCAGTCAAATTAACAACAATTAACAACTATTAGGCTAGTCACTTCAAGGTAACCCAAAATCATCATTGCCAAACAACTTGATCTCCAAAGGACTTCATCAAATAACTTATCTCTACTTTGCTCTCGTATCAAATATGATTATCACAATTTAACTACATTAAAACATGTAAGAGTAAGCTATAATTTAAAGAAATCAACATAATCAGTATAGAAGTAAAAACTATAATATTAACATAAACAACTCGACTTAATTCCACACAATATCAACTTAAGACTTTTCAACATAATACAACATCTTCTTTAACTTAAACAACACAACAACAACACCTCAATGCAATTCATGATAAATCAACATAACATATGAACAACACAACTTAGTCAACACATCAAATGCACAACATAACAATCATATGCGTCATCATATATTTCAACTAAGAGATCTCATACAACACAAGTGAGTAGTCCAAGTAGTTTGACCTTATCGAACCAACAACCCGATCTTTTATAAATCCAGCTAGATCAACAAATAATTTGGATAAAAATTCATATAACATGATTTCTCAGATTTCACCACTTAAAGTAGGAAGTCTAATATTCCAATTAGTGTAGAATAACTTGGATGTGAGTTTATCATAGCATTAGTTAGCATAATTAAGCTACCTATGAGAATATTCTGTCAATTACCCTCTAAATACTATGTTTTTCCTATACTTAATTAGGGATTTTAACCCCTAACCTTATCCTTACCCTAATTTGGTCGGTTTATATTCGTAT